ACTACACTTTCACAGGGGTCACCTAAATAATCCTGCATATCGGATATTTACGTTACGATTCATAACAGTAGCAAAATTACAGTTATGAAGTAGCAATGAAAATAATAATATGGCTGGGGGTCACTACAACATGAGGAACTGTATTAAAGGGTCATGGCATTAGGAATGTTGAGAACCACTGTTCTAGAGGATAAAATTTAAGGTAGAATGGGGGAAGTAAAATGAGATGAGTCAGAGAGGTAAACTGGGCTGGAATGTGGCCTTGGTCTATCAGATCACTTATTTGCTTTCAGTTTCTTCAGGAGTAAAACCTCAGAGTTGGTATGAGAGCTAACTGAGATCATGGAAAAGAAGAAAGTCCTTGGGAGTTGCAGAGTTCTAGACAGAAGTGAAATAAAGTTTGTATTTGAGTGGCTTGGCGCTTGTAGCATAGTGGTTACAGCGCTAGCCACATACACCGAGGGTGGTGGGTTTGAACCTGGTCCAAGGCAGCTAAACAACAGTGACAACTGCAACAAAAAATAGCCAGGCATTGTGGCGGGCGCCTGTAGTCCCAGCTACTTGGGAGGCTGAGGCAAGAGAACTGCTTAAGCCCAAGAGTTTGAAGTTGCTGTGAGCTGTGATGCCATGGTACTCTACCAAGGGCAACACAGTGATAGTGACACTCTGTCTCAAAAACAAAAAAGAAGTTTGTATTTGAGGAAGCATAAGGAGCAACAGGACATAGTCCTAACTTAGAAAAGGATCAGGCTAATTACTCTTGTGATTAGGAGATAGGATTGACAGGTTGAGTGTGTGACTAGCTAAGAGAGGGGATGGGAGGGAGGAGGCAACATGGGGGCTCCTAACTTGTGGGCTTGAGTGACGTCTTCAGGATATGGAGGTGTTTGGAGAAGGCAGTGATGTTTGTGGACAGTTAAGTCTCTGGGACATCCTAGCAGAGATGTGCAATGGGCAGCTTTATGAGTAGGCAAAACAGAGAGCTGAGCTGGAGACAGACCTGGCAGTCATCAGCACACAGTGATGGTTCAGTTCAGGAAGCTGAAATCTTTCAGGAGGCAGGCGGCGCAGGGCTCAGTGGGGTGTCTGGGTGGGCTGGGCCAGGTCCCTAAAGGGTATGTTATAGTTCCTAAGAAGGTAGTTTCACCCTTGTTTTTCTAGGAAAACCAAACAGGACATCCAGATCATGAAGGATGGCAAATTGCTGACTCCACAGGAGTACTGCAAACCATCAAAGTTTAGGCTGGAAAACAGTGGTGGGCATGGAGAGGATATGACTTGCAATAAAAGATCCAGGGCTGAGCATGGTGGCTTACACCTATAATCCCCATACTTTGGGAGGCTAACGTGGGAGGACTGGTAAGGCCAGGAGTTTGAGACTGGCCTAGGCAACATGGTGAGACACCTCCTTTCTATTAAAATGACATGACATGGCTCAGCACCTGTAGCACAGTGGTTACGGTGCCAGCCACATACACCAAGGGTGGATTTGAGCCTGGCCAGGCCAGCTAAACAACAATGACAATTGCAACAAAAAACAGCCAGGCATTGTGGTGGGTGCCTATAGTTCCAGCTACTTGGGAGGCTAAGGCAAGAGAATCTCTTAAGCCCAAGAGTTTGAGGTTGCTGTGAGCTGTGACGTCACAGCACCCTACTGAGGGCAGCATAGTGAGACTCTGTCTCAAAAAAAAAAAAAACAATTAAAAAAATAAAATGACATGACATGAAATGAAATAAAAAATAAAATAAATAAAATAGAGGGGCAGTGCCTGTGGCTCAATGAGTAGGACGCCAGCCCCATATGCCAAGGGTGGCAGGTTCAAACCCAGCCCCAGCCAAACTGCAAACAAAAAATAGCTAGGCGTTGTGGCAGGCACCAGCAGTCCCAGCTACTCGGGAGACTGAGGCAAGAGAATCACCTAAGCCCAAGAGCTGGAGGTTGCTGTGAGCTGTGATTTCATAGCACTCTACAGAGGGCAAAAGAGTGAGACTCTGTAAATAAATAAAATATAAATAAAAGACCCAGCCCAATCCAATAAAGTAGGCCAGTGTTTCTGGCTACTTTAAGGAGTTGGTTGTTGGGGATAGCACAAGTCGGGGGCAGATCTTACACTGTCCTCCTTACTATCCTCCCCTGAACCTGAGGTCCAGCTCCTCTCCATCCCTCTGGTGCTCCTCAACCCCATCACATGTCTCCTCAGATGGCCCAGTTATCTTCTGCCTGTTTGAAAGCCCAGCGCCTAACCCCAGGATGTTGTCCAGTGCTCTTGTCTGCCCCAGCCTACACTGTCACTCAGGCCAAGAACTCAAGTGAGAGAGGGGCAACTCACACCCTGCATAGCTTTCTCCTGAGCTGTGCCAGCACTCTGAGACATGCACACACAAGCACACAAGTGACACTGCCACAGCTGATATTCAGACAGTGCACATAGTACTAGTGAACTGCTAGTTGTAATACTAAACTAGTTTTTCAACAGTTGAAAACAGGAGCTGTCCTAAGCCCTTTGAATGCTCCCCACACATACCCTGGCTACCCAGATCATCCCCTGGAAACCCAAGTTTCCCAGTATGTAGCGTCTAGGGTTAATTCCTGGTACAGCAGGATGACTTCCAGACCCTGCTCTGCTCTTTTGGTCAACACCCATTCTGATTGGTATTAAATATTTTAACATTAGACAAAGCCCCAGGAACACACTGCATGCATGCACTTGCACAATGGCCCACAGGGACACACAGCGTTCAGAAATCCCACCAGAGAATCCATCATGAGGTATATGTCAAATATCTTCTTTTGCCCAAAGCCTATAGGAGGAGCCTCTTGATAATGGTGGCAGGAAAAAGGCATATTGAGAGAGGCTAGCCTAGTAGAAGCAGTTTTACAGACTCAGATTCCTGCTCTAGGGTGGGCAGAAAGGGCAGGAAATGTGTGTGGAAAACAAATCTGAAAGAAAAGTGAGGGGGGCGGCGCCTGTGGCTCAAAGGAGTAGGGCGCTGGCCCCATATGCCAGAGGTGGTGGGTTCAAACCCAGCCCTGGCCAAAAACTGCAAAAAAAAAAAAAAAAAAAGAAAAGCAAGGGCAAGGAAGGCATGAACCTTCCTTCTTTGGACCATGGATATGGGAACACAGGTAGGAACTGTTGCTGATAGAGTCACAGTTGGCAGGGACTGGGAGGTCATCTGTAGGGTCTTCTACTGTTACTGATCAGCTTGTTTCCTATGTATGAATGATGTAGGATGAAGTTTGGATGTAAGAGACAGAAAACCCAAAATGACAGTAGCAAAAACGACACAGACCTCCACAGTATGACAGTACTATGCTCCTTCCATATTGTTACTCTGCCATCCTCATCAGTTTCCACCTCAAGGTCTGAGACATTCCAGGCCACAGAGAAGAAGAAAGGGCATACCATCTGCCTCTGAAGACATTTCTCACAACATGTACATACTTTGTTTATATCCCACTGGCAAAAATGTCTCTTGGCCATACTGGAATAAGGAGATTGAGAAATAATTATTATTTGGTTGGCCACATTGTAAGCTTAAAATTAGGAGTTCACTTTTTGTAGGAGGAAGAGAAAGCGGATACTGCCCTAAATAGAAAGCGGTACAGCCCAGCCAAGCATTTCCTCAGTGATCCTTCCTTCCACTCATAATCTCAGGAATCATAAAGATTAAGCCTAAATAGGCCCCATTTTAGAAGAAATACCTAATTCTCCACTTACAGATTTAGAATCTGTGGCCCCATCTCAGAGAACCATGTCAAAACTAAGCATTGGCCCCAAAAGGCCTTATCTATAGCATGTGACCCTTCTGCCTGGTCATTGCTAATTGACCCATTTTCAAATTGGAAGAAAGAAAACAGAGGCAGTTCCCCTCTGGTAGTGAAGCTGTAGGATATGCGACATGGGAGCTGCTGGCAGCCAAGCTTCCTACTTTGTGGAAGCAGCAGAAGTCAGGATGATGTGGACAAGCAAAAAGAAGAGGTAGGGAGAATGATTCTGGGCAGTGTTTCTAAAGCCCAGCTGCCCTTGGCCATCTCAGAGTTAGATGGGATAATGTGATATCCTGCCCATAATTTTTTTATTTTGCCCGATCTCTTTGGAATTGGGTTTCTAGTACTTTCGTTTTTTCTTTTTTTGGTTGCAGCCATCATTGTTGTTTTGGCGGGCCCCAGGCTGGATTCAAACCTACCAGCTCAGGTGTATGTGGCTGGTGCCTTAGCTGCTTGAGCCACAGGTCCGAGCCTCTAGTACTTTCAACTACAAGAGGCCTGACTACTATATGAAGAAGGGCACCTCTTTTGAGAAGAGGTTATCTTTCAGTTGTGCCTTCAAGGGTAAGGAGAAATCACTGACTAATTAATATGTGGGAGAATTCTTCCAGGTCTGAGGCTGGGATCACACATCCCCATCTGCTCCCCTCATGACATGACTTATCATGTCAGAGGAAAGCAGGTAGCTGACAAGAGTATTCTTTCCCCATTCACTGGCAGAGATACTCCTGTATCTCCTCACAGATGAGCAGATCTGTGAGGGTGGGCCCCGTGTTGCCACCCTGAACATTTGCCCAGTAGTCCACGCCTTAGGGCTTCTTTTCTCAACCCTTAAAAAAAACAGTGGCTGGGCCAGGCGCAGTGGCTCACACCTGTAATCCCAGCACTCCGGGAGGCCAAGATTGCTTGAGCTCAGGAGTTTGAGATCGGACTGAGCAAGAGTGAGACCCCATCTCTAAAATTAGCCAGGCATTATGGTGGGCACCTGTACTCCGGCTACTTGGGAGGATGAGGTAAGAGAATCACTGGAGCTGAAAGAATTTGAGGTTGCTGTGAGCTATGACACCATAGTACGCTACTGAGGGTGACAAAGTGAGACCTGTCTCAAAAAAAAAAAAGAAAAAAAAAAGAAAAGAAAGACAGTGGCTGTTAACACTATAAATTCCAGTGCTGAGTGGTGAAGTGCAGCTATGGGAATTTCACTACTGATGCATGCATTCAACAGTCATTCATTCTCCAAATATTTATTGAGGTCCCACTATATATAAAACAACATGCTTGAAACAGTGTTGTGAACAAGCCAAAGAAGGTCCTAAACCCAAGGAGCTTACAGTCTTGTGTTAAAGGCAAATGCTAATCAAATCATCCCAGGAATAAACCATCACAGGCCATGATAAATGCGATGAAAGAAAAGTTATGGAAAGCTATAAGAAGATACCACACGAAGGCTGATATGGTCTGAGACAGTAGGTAAATTTTCTTCATGAAAGAGACATTTGAGTTAAATTCTGAAAGATGAATAGAGCAACCTATGAAAGTGGTGGGGGTGAAAGGATGGTGAAGAGCTGTCCAAGCAGAGGTAGCAGCACGTGCAAAGACAGGAGAGAGCACCGTGCATGAGAGGAAACCATGTATCTGAGACCTGAAAGAGAGTGGCTGACAGCAGAGAGCAAATAGGAGAAAGGGTCAGACTGAGACAGGAGAAAGCACAGGGTAAGGTTCTGGCCTTTACTTTAAGAGAATGGGGAGCAACTGGGGGTTGAGACTGCCAGGATTATGATTTGCACTTCATGATCACTGAGCTGCTCTGTGGAGAATGAACTGGAGAGGGCCAAGGAGGAAGTGGAAACACTAACATGGAAGATAAGTAGAGGGAGAGGAAAGAAGAGAGAATAAGAGCATGAATGTGTGCAACCCCATGTTGGTTGTGCAGCAGTACAGTGAAGATTAAAAGCACTGGATCTGAAATCAAATCGCCCAGGTGCATGTTCTGGCTTTGACATTTGTTTTATGACCTTGGGCAACTTATCTAAGTTCTCTCAGATTCCTTATCTCTAAATGAAGATAATACCTGTCAATCTACCTCTTGGGTTATATGAGAATTAAATGACAGATACATAGATAGATAGATAACTATATATAGAAATTACAAGAGTGTTCAGCACACAATAACTTTTCATTAAGTATTGGGACCCAAGGCCACATAGCTACTATATAAAAATAGATCAACACTGAACCACTCTGATTAAAGTTGAGGATGGTATGGGCTGGGCTCCTGAGCCTTGTCCACATGTCTGACTCTACCATTGCTTTGTCTAAAGCCTTGCCCATCCAGTTCTAAGTTCCTGGCACTTCAGCGACTCCTGCTCTGCCAAATGAGTGGCCTGTTAGGAATATGTCGTCTGAGCACTGTGCTAAAGAATGAGGTGATAGCAGCTGACAGGATTAAGGAAAATTACAGCACGCACAGCCACTCTCAACTTTATATAAATTATCGCTAAAGTCACAAAAGGCTTTTCCTCATCAATTGAAAAAACAAAACTTCTGCTTGATGATGGGCACATAACAAGGTATAGGCCACAAAATGGACAGGAACAGCCTTGAAGGAAATATAGATCTCAGAAGGATATGATTAACAGAAATGCCTTTGAAGGAGGTGCATGTCACTCCAGAGACATTTATGGCTGGCTTTACCACCTGCCTGTGTCATTCATGCTGGCTCCCATCTTTGCCCTTGCTAAGCCATGGTTCTGGCCTGGTTTCAAGAACACACTCAAGACTGGATTCTAACCTTCCAAAGATTTGCTTGGGAATGAGGAACCATTCTCAGGCATCAACCACAAATCCCATCCCAGGAATGGGCCCCACATATCTCAGGCTTTTGACTAGGTAGGGTCACTGGGAGGTGAGGACAAAGTCTATAAACAACCTAGCCAGATGTTCTGGAATTAGGTCACAATAAGGGATATTTAGACTATTTGTGTGCCAAACACTTGTTCCAAGCCATTCCCAACATTTCTGAATAGATGCAAACTCCTGGTGATACTTACTGGTTTCACATCTATGGAACTACAGGATCCTAAAGGTGAAAAAAAAAAAAGCCCTCACCTATCTGAAGACCATGCTGGACTATAAACCCAGAACTGGCTCTGGACAAACTGAGAACTCTTACCAACCCACATAAAGCTCCCCAAGGTCAAGCAGTGGAGGTCCTGTTCAGAAAAGATAGGCTGCCAGACAGCACAGCCACACATAGAACAAGAAAACAGACAGAAGCTCTACTTGAGATCAAAAAGACAATACTTTTTCATTGAGATCCGGCATAGGAGTAGGAAAATTAGCAATTGGCCAGTTGCCCTTGGCAGCCCTGGAAAAATCAGGAAACTTCTGTTTCATAGAGTGCAGAGCTGATGGAGCTGTTCTTCAGGGCAGTGTAACCTTTCTTTTCTGCACCTCACTTAGCCAAGGCCAAGTTTGTAGACTGCAGCTGCTCGGTCTCCTGGCAGATGTTCTGTTCCACTGTGTCACATTCAGCTAGGAATGCCTAAAAGATAGACATGGGACAGTGAGGGCCCATCCAGCACTAGCCAACTACTGCCCACACAAGACTCTTTGCTGAGCCATTTGGGGAAACTTGCAGGTGACTCAAAACAGTCTGTGTATAGATAAAGAAGGGTACCTGGCCTGGGCTTCAAGGCAAGGGGAGGAAAAGAGAGGGAAGCATAGGACCAGGGTTTCTGACCATACTTTAGGCAAACAACCTCCCAAAAGGTGGTAAGGGCAGGAAGGAAGCCTTGTCTCAAGGTTACAATGTTACAGCACTGCAACAGCACAATTGCAGGGAGCACTGTATACATGAACGTTGCCTTCTGGAATTGTGTAATGTATCAGCCCCATGTACTCTCCACTGAGTTTCCTCCCTAAATAGTTTAAATCCAAATATAACTACAAGGAGATGAAGGGAACTCTTCTTTGATGCTCTGAGTTCATGGCAATAAACAAACAGGGGCTGGGCACGCCTGTAATCCTAGTACTTCGGGACGCAGAGGCAGGTGGACTGCCCTGAGCTCACAAGTTCAAGACCAGCCTGAGCAAGAGCGAGACCTTGTCTCTAAAAATAGCTGGGCACTGTGGTGGGCACCTGTAGTCCCACCTACTTGGGAGGCTGAGGCAAGAGAATTGTTTGAGCCTGAGAGTTGGAGGTTGGTGTGAACTAAGACGCCACGGCACTCTACAGAGAGTGACAAAACAAACAAACAAATGAACAGGAATAAAAAAAAAAGCCCAACTACATACAGTACTTCTATCCCCACTTTGTACAGATAAACACATACACCACCACATTAACACATTATACTTTGTCATGTGTTATTATACAACTCACCTGAATCTTTTTCACTAAACCCTTCCTTTTCAGTCTACTCTCTTTGAAATTTTCTGGCAGGATCTATGGAAGAATAAGTTGACACATAAACTTATAATTTTCAGTGAAAATGACTTGAGGATACATCAAAAATACCCACAGTACATCAAGCAAGTCACAGGTCTGATATAAGAAAAACATACATTTTTAGGAATCCTTTCCTGAGGTCTGCATCTCCCATGGCACTTTCCACAGCTCTTATCCCTATAAAAGTACCTTTGTTCCCATGTCTGGGCAATAGATACTGATCCGTAACACGGATTTTGTTCTTTCACTGTTTCCTACGTATGGACACGATGCTTTGGCCAAATCATGTGCTCCTGGCACCAGGAAAAATATCTTTTGTTTCTCCTTTTTATTTATTATTTATTATTTTTTTGTAGAGACATAGTCTCACTTTATCGTCTTTAGTAGACTGCCATGGCGTCACACAACTCATAGCAACCTCCAGCTTCTGGGTTTAGGTGATTCTCTTGCTTCAGCCTCCCAAGCCTTCTTCTTCTTCTTTACAAACCCTGCCCTCCTCAATAGAATCACCATTAGGAAAGAGCAGTTCACTCTCAAGAATGAAGCATCAGGCTAGAGATATTACCATCTCTATACATTACCATCTCTATGATATTACCATCTCAATAGCTCAATAGAGATATTGCCATCTCTGTAAAAGAGAACTGATGTGGATGATTTTCTTTTCTTTTTTTTTTTTTTTGAGACAGAGCCTCAAGCTGTACCCCTAGGTAGTGCCGTGGCATAGCTCACAGCAACCTCCAACTCTTGGGCTCAAGCGAGTCTCCTGCCTCTGCCTCCCAAGTTGCTGGGACCACAGGTGCCCGCCACAACACCTGGCTATTTTTTGTTTTTTTGGTTGCAGCCATCATTGTTGTTTAGGGGGCCCAGGCTGGATTTGAACCCGCCACCTTAGGTGTATGTGGCTGGCGCCTTAGCTACTTGAGCCACAGGCACCGAGCCGATGATTTTCAATAGTACCATAAGATCTGGCCAGGTCTGGCTGCATTCTGCATAGTTAATAAGCTTAGTAGGATTATCAGTCACATGAATATCAAGGAAAGTGAAATCCTATGTTTCTTTGACCATGAGATCATAGACTACTTAGGTTCCAGCTTCATGATGATTACATGTTATTTAGCATACATAAATACAGATTTGCCATCTGCTGGTTCCTGCCAGTCCTGTGCTGGTAGCCTGTGAGTGCCTCGAAATCATGAACCATCTTTGTCAATTTGTGTATTCATCTAGGACCTAGCACAGAGTCTAGCACATGGTAGATGCCTAGAATTCTCAAGTGATGGGTTTGCTCAGGCAATAGGAGTGTATTACTGAAAGAGTGAAATTGACTGAAATACAGTCAAAGAAAACCAGTTCTTCTCAGCTAAATATTTACTTACTAGTGTGTCGATCTCCTCCAAGATCTTCATAAACTGTTCGATAGTGCCTTTTACTTTCCTATCAAGTTTGCAGAGAGCTTCAGCTTGCAAATCCTTGGCCAAAAAACCCTGTGAAAGAATAATGTATTATTGCAAGGGTCCCATCCCTTGAGGCTAATGGAAATACTCTATGCCACAGTACTGGTAAAATAACCACACCCTGAGTCCACCATAGACCTGAAAGGCCAGACCACATTTCAGACTCACAACTTCAACTCTTAGAAAACACAGAAAGGCTGACCTTAGACCAGTCCAAGCACCTGACCAGGCTGCAGGTTGCGCTATCTCACATGGCCTACTAGGGCTGAAAATGTTTCCTGAGGCTTGGATCCAGGGAAACCCCTTGTCACAAGTATACATCTGCACACAAGAGGCAGACATTAAGAGCACAGGCTCTAGAGTCATATAGGCCTAAGCCTGAATCCTGATTGCCACTTACTAGCTTGTCATCTGGAGTAAGTTACTGAGCCTATCTATGACTCAGTGTCCTTATTTTTAAAATAAAGATTATTAAGTGCCTGTAGTCCCAGTTACTTGGGAGGCTGAGGCAAAAGGATTGCTTAAGTTTAAGAGTTTGAAGTTGCTGTGAGCTATGACACCACAGCACTCTACCCAGGGTGACAGAGTCTCAACTCTGCCTCAAAAATAAATAAATAAATAGGACAGTGCCTGAAACTCAGTGAGTAGGGCACCAGCCACATATACTGAGGCTGGTGGGTTTGAGTTTGGCCTGGACCTGCTAAACAACAATGACAACTGCAGCCAAAAAATGGCCAGGCATTGTGGCAGGTGCCTGTAGTCCCAGCTACTTTAGAGGCAAGAGGCAAGAGAATAGCTTAAGCCCAAGAGTTGGAGGTTGCTGTGAGCTGTGATGCCACAGCACTCTATGGAGAGCAACATAGTAAGGCTCTGCCTCAAAAATAAATAAATAAATAAAATTAAGATTATGAAACCTACACCCCATAAAGTTACTGTGAAGATAAAAAGGCATTTATGTAGATGCTTAACATAATTTGTGACATAGACCAGTGCTAACAAATGGTTATTAGCCTTTATTTTTATTAAGTTGTCTTATGGTTTACTTATATTGCTTAGTCTGATGACCAATTAGCTGGTGACATGAGTTGGACAACAGGGATCTTTGAGGATGTTTATGAAATGTGGATCTACTATGTATCAACAAGATATTCTTTGCCTTGCCAAACACACAATACCAGTTATCAAAGCCAAGTTACAGAAACAGATGCAACATGTAGCAAGAGCTTTAAACATCACCCAGAAATCCCAACCCAAAGAGTTTATTCTAACCAAAAATATCAGAAATTATTCAAAAAGATTTATGTCCCAGGATATTCAAAGTAGCATAACATGACATATAATGGTACAAATAATATTAAATGATGAACAATAGAGACTTGATTAGGTAAACTGTGATATATTCATATATGATAAAATATTATGAAAGCTTTGAAAAGTATGATCTTCTTTTCCTGGAAACAAGAGTCTCTCTATTACCCAGGCTAAAGTGCTGTGGTGTCAGCCTAGCTTACAGCAACCTCAAACTCAAGCAATCCTCCTGACTAAACCTCTAGCATAGCTGGGACTACAGATGACTGCTATAAAACTCAACTAATTTTTATTTTATTATTATTATTATTTAGAGACAGAGTCTCACTCTGTCCCCCTTGGTAGAGTGCCGTGGCGTCACAGCTCATGACAACCTCCAGCTCTTGGGCTTAGGCGATTCTCTTGCCTCAGCCTCCTGAGTAGCTGGGACTACAGGCACCCGCCACAATGCCTGGCTATTTCTTGTTGCAGTTTGGCGGGGGCCGGGTTCAAACCCACCACCCTCGGTATATGTGGCTGGTGCCCTACTCACTGAGCCACAGGTGCCACCTAACTCAACTAATTTTTCTATTATTTTTTAGTAAAGACAGGGTCTTGCTCTTGCTCAGGCTGGTCCTGAATACCTAAGCTCAAGGGATCCTCCTGCCTCAGCCTCCCAGAGTGTTAGAATTACAGGTGTGAGCCACTGCACCCAGCCATGATCATTTTTAATGGCATAGAAAAATGTTCCAATTTTTTAATCTAATAAAAGAACAACTTACAAACTGTGCTAACATTGCGTCAAATTTTTTTTTAAGATTAAAAATATATTTCAGGCTATCGTAGTGGTTATCTTTGAGTCAGGGCCTTATAGGTAATTTTTATTTTCCATTTTAGTGCCTATGTATTTACAATGTTTGTACAATCAACATGTATTAATTTTGTAATTAAAACACAAATACGTACCATTAATATTATAAAATGTAAGAGGAAAAGAAAAAAGTGATCTTAGGCTATTCTTAATCCTTACTGGGCGTCTATACCCTATCTCTAATATAAGGAATTTATTTATTTATTTGAGATAGAGTCTCACTTTGTCACCCTTGGTAGAGTGTTGTGGCATCATAGCTCACAGCAACCTCAAACTCTAGTGCTCCAGTGATCTTCTTGCCTCACTCTCCTGAGTAGCTGGGATTAAAGGCACCCGCCACAATTCCCAGCTATTTTTAGAGACAGGGGTCTCACTCTGGTCTTGAACTAATTTTCAAGTCTTGAACTAATTCAGAGCTCAAGCACTCCACCAGCCTTGGCCTCCCAAGAATGCCAGGATTATTGAGCCCTGGCGCCTGGCCTTACCATAGGCAGTTTAATATTAGGTTGGTGCAAAAGTAATCGTAGGGTTGGACAATAAATTTTAAGTCATTATAAGTAGGCTCAAACACATTTTTATTAACAAAAATAGGAACTATTACAATCAATACATTGTTGCCAATGAGAAATAAATTTGTTTCTTCCTGTAGCATAAAAAAAATCCATGATTTGGGTGGCACTCGTGGCCCAAAGGAGTAGGGCACCAGCCCCATATGCTAGAGGTGGCGGGTTAAAACCCAGCCCCAGCCAAAAACTGCAAAAAAAAAAAAAATCCTTGCTTCAGGATTCAACTCTTGGAAAGCATCTTCTGCATCCTGTTGGTTGTGGAAGCTTTTTCCCTGCAAAAAGTTCTCAGAGATGCTTGAAGTGGTAGTCAGTTGGCAACAGGTTAGGTGAATATGGCGGATGAGGCAAAACAACTCATTCAATTTTTGAAGCACTGGTTGTGCAACATGTCATCAGACGATGTCAGGCAGAAGAATTAGACCCTTTCTGTTGACCAATGCCAGTTTTCAGTGCATCTCATTAATTTGCAGAACACACTTCTTAGACATAATGGTTTTACCAGATTCAGAAAGCCAAAGTGGATCAGACCTGCAGCAGACCACTAAACAGTGACCATGACCTTTTCTTTGGTACAAGTTTTGCCTTGGGAAGTGCTCTGGAGGTTCCTGTCAGTCCAGCTACTGAGCTAGTTCTTGCTGGTTGTCATATTAAATCCACTTTTTGTCGCATGGCACAATCTGATCAAGAAATGGTTTGTCGTTGTTGCATAGAATAAGAGAAAAGACAACACTTGAAAATGGGTCAGCTGATTCTCGGTCAGCTCATGAGGCACCCACTTACTGAGCTTTTTCAGTTTTCCAATTTGGTTCAAATGCCTAACAGTTGAAGAATGGTTGACATTGAGTTCTTTGGCAACTTCTCATATAGTTGTCAAAAGATCAGCCTTAGGCTTAGTGCCTGTTGCTCAGTGAGTAGGGTACCAACCACATACACCAAAGCTGGTGGGTTCTAGCCCGGCTGGGCCTGCTAAACAACAATGACATCTGCAACCAAAAAATAGCTGGGTGTTGTGGCAGGTGTCTATAGTCCCAGCTACTAGGGAGCCTGAGGCAAGAGAATCGCTTAAGCCCACAAGTTTGAGGTTGCCATGAGCTGTGACGCCACAGCACTCCACCCAGGATGACATAGTAAGACTGTCTCAAAACAAACAAACAAAGAAAAAATGGAGGCTGAGGCAGTGGGATGCCCACAGCCTGAGTCTGAAGTTGCAGTGAGCTATGACACCATTGTACTCTGCTCAGAGATTAGGGTGGGACTCTGTCTCAACAACAACAACAACAAAATCAGCCTCAGTGATTGCTTTCAAGTGGCTGTTGCCAACTTCCAATGGTTGGCCACTGTGATCCTCATCTTCAAGGCTCCCATCTCCTTTGCAAAACTCTTGAAACCCCCACTGCACTGTACGTTCATTAGCAATTTCTAGGCCAAATGCTTGTTGATGTTGCAAGTTGTCTCTGCTGCTTTATGACCCATTTTGAACTTGAATAAGAAAATCACTCGAATGTGCTTTTTGTCTAACATCATTTCCATAGTCCAAAATAAATATAAAATAAAGAACAAGAATTAAGTCAGTAGCAAAACAAATAATGTGAGAAGGGTGCATTAAAATGAAGTAGAACATAATCACATTTATTTAAGAATGTATTCCAGCACCAAATCGCAAATTTCAACAACACAAAAACTGCAATTACTTTTGCATCAACCTGATAGAATGACCACCCATATACAGCACCCCAACATCATGTTAAACTTGGACCTTCTATGAAGCAACAAAATATTCTTTGTCTTGCCAAACATACTACAATAGCCTGGACTAGGGGACACTACCTGTTGTATTTCAGACAATAAGTGATCCTAGCATGGAAGGTGCTCCCATGTGAGCACAAATAGATACTGGCTGGGATCTGACAGTAACAACCCTAATAACAGTTAAAAAGCACTCAGCATCTATCAGCCTCAACCTACATTATTTAATCCTCACAACAACCCTAGTACCATTTTTTCCTTTTAACAGTATGAGAAACTTGAAAGATAAACTTGCCCACAGTAAGAGAAAGGGTGGAGCCAAGATCTGAACCAGGGAGTCTGACTGCAAAGCCTGACCTTGTAAGGTAGAGAGTCAAAGTCCATGATGAGATTACCTGCTGGATTCCAGTAAGTGCTTTATTCAATTCTCCCACTTGGTCAGCTATCTTTTCCACAGACTTCTCCAAATCTTTCAATTTCTTTAGTTCAATTTCTTCCTCTGAACTGTTCTAAAATGGTTAAGAATAAAATAAAGTCAATAATCACCAAGAATAGTAGTCTTAGTCAGGAAAAAAAATCTGACCAAAATTGGGCTAAATCACTCACCAACAAAGAATGGTCTTAACTCTGCTGCATTTTGGAAAGCAAGTCAAAGGGTTATACATTAAGGTTTTCTATTTACAGAGGAGAGAGAAGGTATTAGGTAAACATTCTGGTGAGGACCCTGACAGCACAGATTGAGAGAATGGAGCCAATTCAGGTGCTAGATTTAGCCTCAGGCCTAGACTGATCAATAGCCAGGCTGAAGCCTAAAGACTAAATATAGTGAATACATGTGAGGAATCCAGAATGGCAAGACAGGAAGAATTCTATTCCTTTAAATGGAATATTCCTAAATGTCAGTCTCCAGCTGAGCTCTCCTATTTAATATGATAATAATGAGGACAATGATAAATACTTTTAATAACACTCCCAATAGGTCAGGCACTATCCTAAACACATTACCTGTCTTTTCTTTTAAGTCTTTTCACAATCCTCTGAGGAAGGTACTGTTTTACATACAGATGATGAAGCTGAGGCTTAATGTAGTAAAGTAACCTAAGACCACACAGCCCAAAAGAGGTGGAACAGATTTCAGTTCAGACTTGGTTCCATGCACTCCAGGTCAGTTCCTACTAGAGATCACAGTTTCTTCAACTCAACCCTTGGGATCTGTCTGTTGCCCATCACTATTCTCCCCAACACTTAAGCAAGAAATTTAGAATATTCTCCCTTCTCTCACCTAAACAATTAGTAGCCAGGTCCAATACGGGATGTTATATCATCCCATATTGTTCATTCCTCTTTGTGGCCAAATCCTTAGTCCCAGTCTCCTGGTGGTTCCAAGTCTGGATTCAACTTCTTTGCCTCCACTTTGCTAATACCTGCCCTCTTTACTCAGCCTCTTCACTGGACATATAGGAATTTCATATGTGCAACAATTCCACTGTGTCACAATGCAAGGCTGGCCACAGCCCTCTCTCATCACCCAAAGGACTGCTGTCACCCACTGACTCTTTTTCTCCCCCAATCAGTTCTTTAGTCTGAAACTGTCCTTCCAGTCACAGAGGGTTTTCCCCTTGTGGAAGATTCTAGTTAAAAAGGTGATTAAAGGAAGAGAGGCTCCTGAAACTGAACAGAGTATTGCTTTTAATGTATGCAGGTTTATTTCAACAAAAAGCCATTAATATCTTGCAAATTCCATCCTAAGTGGATAAAGCCTGATCCAAGCACCATTTTAATAACTAGACTGAGATTCTGCCACCAAGTCAAAAGCTACCTCGTTGAGGCAGCAATCATTCCTAATTCCTGGAGGGAAAGCCTAACCAACAAGTAGGTTAATTCCACGAAACAAAGACTATTTGGTTGGTTTTTTTTTTTTTTTTTTTTTTTTTGTAGAGACAGAGTCTCTCTTTATCACCCTTAGTAGAGTGCTATGGCGTCACAGCTCACAGCAACCTCCAACTCTTGGGCTTAGGCGATTTTCTTGCCTCAGCCTCCCGAATAGCTGGGACTACAGGCGCTTGCCACAACACTCAGCTATATATTCTTTTTTTTTCTTGAAGTTTTGGCCGGGGCCGGGCTTGAACCCGCACCCACCCCCCACCATATGGGGCCAGCACACTACTCCTTGAGCCACAGGTGCCGCCCTACAAAGACTATTTGTTGAGAGAAGTGTTTTACCAATGCAAATCTGGGTCTCAAATTTGGCCTTCTAAACAGAAACATGCATAAAAGGCTTTAGTCATTTGATTCTAAAAATTTCTGGTGAAAAAAGCAATTTACCTTTTTCCCAATTAACATAACCTGGCAACCATTTTGTATTCCAAGTGCTGACAATGGTGTCTCCATTTCCTTCAGAGATTTTCCTGAAAAGAAAGGCATGCCAAGATGAAACAATTGTGTAACAAAATTGTGTAAACAATCATGTAAAATCGACTTCAGCAAGGGCACAGGAAATAGACAACTGTATTCACTAATGAGTAACCCAGTCATTTCACCTCTATGTATTTATCCAAACAAATAACTGCACAATAACTATTATATAATAATATTCAGTGCAACCCTATTCATAATAATGGGAAACTACAAAAGAGCCAAGTATTGAGGAATATGGGACTGATTACACATCCATACAACAGAAGACTTTGTAGGCATTAAAGCTTATTTTTCAAGAAACTTCAATACCACAGTGAATGTTGATGACCCAGTGTTATGAGCTTTATCCAGGGGAACATTTTCTTTTTTCTGCTTCCTTCTATTTCAAAACATGAATTTCTACTGCCTTTATAATTCAGAAATAAAATGTTTTTTAAAAGATAAGAAGTTACACTGTAAAATATAAACAAAAATGCTTCCTATTACTAAATTCTTTATAAGGGCTAACACCTAGTCCAATAAATCTGCCCTCATCAGAAACCACAATAATGAGTTTCCAATGGCAGGGTAAAGACAGAAGATGAGGGTGGAGGAGAGGGTCCTGATAGAAATCAGCATCATCTGCTGGGCCTGCCACCTCCAGGGCCCAGGTAAGTTTGTTTAAAACCTTCCTTGGGCTCGGCGCCTGTGCCTCAAGCAGCTAAGGGGCCAGCCACGTACACCTGAGCTGGCGGGTTCCAATCCAGCCCGGCCTGCCAAACAACTATGACAGCTGCAACCAAAAAATAGGTGGGCATTGTGGCAGGCACCTGTGGTTCCAGCTACTTGGGAGGCAGAGGCAGGAAACTGGCTTGAGCCCAGGAGCTGGAGGTTGCTATGAGCTGTGATGCCACAGCACTCTATCCAGGGCAACAGCTTGAGGCTCTGTCTCACAAACAAATAAATAAATAAAACCTTCCTTGGGGTGCTTGCTTCGGCAGCACATATACTAAAATTGGAACAATACAGAGAAGATTAGCATGGCCCCTGTGCAAGGATGACAGGCAAATTCGTTCCATATTTTAAAAAAAAAGAAAATCTTCCTTGCGGCCAGGCATGGTGGCTCATCCCCATAATCCCAGCATTTTGGAAGGCTGAGGCGGGAAGTTTGCCTGAGGCCAGGACAAAACCAGCATGGGTCTCATAGTGAGGCCCTATCTCTCTCTAAAAAAAAGATAAAAAGCCCTTAAGTCTGTACAATGCCAAGCACTGGAAACACAGAAGTGTCTCTACTCTCATGGAGTTTGTTATTCTAACAGAAAAACCAAATGTTAAACAACTAAGAAATTATTATTTATTATTGTTATTTTTGCAATTTTTTGACCAGGGCTAGGTTTGAACCCGCCACCTCTGGCATATGGAGCCGGTGCCCTACCCCTTTGAGCCACAGGCACCACCCTAAGAAATTATTTAATAGCAATTTCAATAAAAGTAGTGAGGGTACCATGTGAATATATATAATGGGGAAACGATCTAACTAACCTAACCAAGGAAGACTGTCGATACACTTCACCAAAAATGGTGAGATTTCTGCCATCATCATGTGACTTCAAATCTCTCTAGATGTTTCAAAGTGTCCTGCACATAGCAGTTCCTCAATAAATATTTGTTGAAGACATAAATAATCAATTAAGTAAAAACTGTCCCAGTTTGAAAACTGAAAGTTACCATTAGGAAAAGCTAAGTAGTTTCATATTTTTCCTTTAGCCACAAGGGTTTAAAGCTGGAAGAGAAATACCTACCTTTAAATATAAGTTTCTGAAAACGCAGTGGAACCCCTATGGCCTCTTCAACAATCTGGGCCAGGTCTTGGACAATGGGTTCACTGCTGCCCTTCTGTGGGGTAACAAGAAGGTTGTGCTTCTCATTGCCTAGAGTGAAAGAAAAGCATTTGACAAAGATGAATCTTTCACATAAACCAATACAGGCTGACTCTTCATTACACTTATTGATATTTACCCACATAAGACCTGACTTACTATATGCCATCCACTCCAGAAAGCCTGCTCCCATCTGCTCTGTTTCCTCTGGTGACAGGCTCAAGGACTTGATTCCTCTGTTATAATAATTAACAATATTAATGATACCAGCTAACATTTTTAGTATTTGTCATGCCTAAGTGGTTGTACTAGACTCATTTCATGCAATATCTTATTTAATCCTCAGAACAAAACTATGAAGTAGATACTACCTGTTATTTCCTACTTCACATACAAGCAAATTGTTAAGTACAGTTAAGTCCTGCTTATAAAAGCCCTACTGGTAGAGTCAGAACTTGGCCTCAGATTTAGCTGATTCCAAAGCCCATACCTTTCATCACAAGTCATCTGTCTCCAGTAGCCTGAGTGCTCTGAACCCTGTATTGTACTGGTCTTGTCCTCTTTACCATAACAGGCTGAAACTGTTTTATTCCCAGTCCCTCTCACTGGGCACACTTATAGTACACCCATAGCTGGGGCTCAGTAAATAGACAAATAAATACAGTCAAACAGCAGAGAATATTCTTTTGAAGCAGAGATGCTAATTTTTTTCCAGGGACATGGAAAATAAGTAGGTAGCCTGTGTCCAGTGCATTACACCAAGCTTTGAGTTCCCCCAGTAGTCCCATGAGGTCAGTGGGGACCGGAGTTATCAACTCCACTTCACGGAGAAGATACCAAATGCCTAGAAACGAGATATTCATTCCAAGGTCACTCAAAACTGCAGGATCCAGAATGCTGGTCTGGATATCTTCTGGTCTCCCCTATTTGGTTCTGAGACAACCTTATAGTCTCAGATCGCCAGTGTACCAACATTGCTTAATTCTGTGTCAACTCCTACAACAGGCAGACCCAAAGGGTACCCAGAATGTAATGCTTGGACCCAGAGGCCATTCAAACAGCCGGCAGCAGGCGTTCGACACCCAGAAAACACCCTTCAAGCACCAGTTATCACGAAAGTCGTACACAACCTGGCTAAATATAAGCCTGACAAAAAGACCCAACTAGGCTCACGACGTGAAGCACGGACACGTTCGAACACCCAGGATCAAATAGCTAAAGACAAAATACACTGGCCACGTGGAAAGGCGTGCAGACACAAACCCCAGGCAGCTGGCCCCTCGGACGCAGTCAAGAACCCACACTTCGAACGCCAGGACAAACACAAGGACACACGCTTCCGGAGGACACGTGGGCAAACCCACAGACCCTGTCGGATCCTCGGTCCGGACACAAGAGCCCATCCGGCCGCCCAGAACTCACTGTGCGTGATGGTCAAGGTGAGCCCGGCTGCCGCCATTTCCTCCCTGGTCACCTCCTTGTTCCGGGGTAGCTCCTCGCCCAGGGCCACCTCCTCGCTCCCGGGCACCTCCTCGCTCAGGGACTCCTCCTCGGTCAGGGGCACCTCCTCGCTCCGAGACATCTCCTCGCTCGGGGGCACCTCCTGGCTCCGGGCCTCCTCTTTCTGGGCCTCCTCGCTCCGGGCCACCTCCTTGCTCCGGGCCACCTCCTTGCTCTGGGCCACCTCCTTGCTCGGGGCCACCTCCTCGCTCCGGACCAAGCGGGACCGTACTTTCTTCTTCACCCGCGGCCTGAGAGCGCCGGCGGCGGCGCCCCTGGTGGGTCGGTCATACCCGCTGGCTGCACTCCGGACTGATGTACGCTGAGAGGCAGGAGGGCCGCGCTCGGCTGGGGGCTCCGACTGGCGCGACTCCCGGCCTTGCCGAGGGGCGCGCCGCCGGGAGCCCAGCCGCTCGCTGTTGCCTCTCGGTCTCCGCGCGCCGCCGTGCTCCGCCAGGCCCGCGCTTGTTGACAGCCCAGCGATGGTAGCTGAGCTCCGCACCTCCCAACCCCGCCCCGCGTCTTCCTGGCCCCTCCCAGGCCTCCAGGCCACGCCCCTCAGATCCGGCCCCACTCTTGTCCCGCCCCATTCTGCCACTGCCGCCACCAGCCCCACCCACTAAACCGAGGCCCCGCCTGTCTCACCTGAAGCCCCGCCCACTCCCTCCAAGGGGGCCCCTCCCCTTGCAGTCTCCCTCCAGGTCTCTCCAATCCTCTTGAGCATTTTCCCCGGAAGGCTCTTCTGAAAACCGGAAAAAGGATCGGGAAACACTAGCAGGCACTTTGCGCTTGCGCTTAGGGGAGCCGGAAGTCGAGGCAGGAGTGATTCTACTTCCGTTTCTAGTTTTGCTCTGGTGTTTGGGTTTCTCCTCGGCCGCCCAAGATGAACCGATTCTTCGGGAAAGCGAAACCCAAGGCTCCGCCGCCCAGCCTGACTGACTGCATTGGCACGGTGGGCACTTGACCATGCATAACTAGGCTCAGGGCCTCCGAGACCCCCAGCCCCGCCTACCCCTGGCCCAGTTCTCTCACTATTCCACCTTATTGCCGGTCCTGGGCCCCTTCCCTCTCCACCTTACGTTCCTCCCTTCATCCCTGTTACCCAACTCATTACTGACGCCACAAACAAGGGACTCCCTAACCCCGTCACTACCTCACCCTGTCTGCACCAAACCTATTCTGATGCCCATCGCCCCATTCACTTTCTCCCGCTTTGATCCCCTCATCCCAACTAACCCTAGATCCATACACCCTTCCCACCTCGTCCAGCCTGACCCCATTCCCCTCTTCCATCCTTCCTCCCTTGCCCACTCTCAGCTTGATCTGTACCTCAGTTCTGGATCTCAGTAACGTGAAATTCAGAACCCTAGCCCCTCAGATTAAACCATCACCAAATCTAGGGAATGGCACTTAACATGCCTACTGGTTGAGCTCTCAGCCAGAGTTTTCAGAGAAACTCCAACTCAGCTCAGTGATTCTCTATTTTTCTGTCCCAGACACTTAAAGGGGTGTGGTGTATCAGTCTGGGGAGTTGGAGTATAGTTTATAAAATCCCTCCCCAGTATTTCTGACTGGGAATCTCCACTGTTTTTCATCCTTCTCTTTGTTTTTCTCTTTTCTTCTTCTATATTCCTCTCCTGCATCTTCTGGTATAAGAATATTGCAGTAATTATCACTGCATTTAATATTTTTCTCCAAGGTGGACAGCCGGGCAGAATCTATTGACAAGAAGATTTCTCGATTGGATGCTGAGCTAGTGAAGTATAAGGATCAGATCAAGAAGATGAGAGAGGGTCCTGCAAAGGTAAGGTAGACAGCAACTGTTGCAGAAGGTTCTGTGATGGCCTAATTTTGTTTTTTTAATATTGAACATTGATTTGGATTAAGTGATAGCCTTATTTGAGGACCTGGAGAAATAGATCCTTATAGTAGCCACTGATGAAGGATACAGAAGAGATGTTTATAGTTTGTTGTACCCTTCACAGGGAGGGTAGGGTTGAGGTTGCTGATGCATATAAAAGAGAGGCAGGGGTTTGGTCTGATGGAGAGAAAATGCTGACCATGCGTCTAGAAGCTTGTACATGAAAATTAGCATAGTCTACTGAGAAGGTGGCAACAATGTGTGTTTCTCCATCTTTTTTATAGGTTTTCAGCTCAGCCTTGGGGAAAGCAAGATTGGGTAGACTGCAAAGGGAGGGACCCATGGAGGGAGTGGGTAGGACTTCAGGCTGTGCTCAAGGATCAGTGAGCAGCCAGACTTGTCAGGTTAAGTCAGTATCATAGACTGGTTAAGGAGCAGCCTGCTGGAAGAAACTATTGAACTAGGCACTGGATAATGTTTGAATACTAACATTATCACTACCTGTTGAGATCTTAATAGAGTCACGTAACTTATTTTGTGCTTTTGTTAGGTGTGAACATACGTACTCTGTTTAAGTGCATGAACTGTGGGTATGGAACTATCTTGTTTCTTTCAGGTCCACAGCTTACTAATGATGTGAGACAAGGCATCACTGAACCTCAATTTTTTCCATCTGTATGGAGATAATATCTACTTTATAGTGTGAGAATTAAACAAGATCAAGTACATAGTAGCACTCAGTAAATATTAGTTATTAGTGTCTATGAAGTAATATCTGCCTTTCCTTCTTCACTAGAGGAAGCCTTCCCTTTCTATAGTGTTCCATAACTTTCTTAGCCATCTTAGTTCATGGTGTAGAATGAAGCCCAAACCGTGATAGTAATTATGAGAGTGACAAGAAAGAAATGAGTTACTGAGCAGCTGCTGTAGCTCAAAGGAGTAGGACGCTGACCCCATATGCCAGAGGTGGTGGGTTCAAGCCCAGCCCTGGCCAAAAACTGCAAAAAAAAAGGGTAAAGAACTCAGTTTCAAAGTGAGTTCTGAAGATCAGTTAACAGGATGACTGCATGAAGAGACAGGAGACAGAGGTTGATATAAAGGTTTTTAGCCTAGAAAGGTGAGAGATTGGTAGGGCCATTGTTAGTTATTTCCAAAGTAAGATAAGGTTGAAGAATTTGGGTATGTTGAGTTTGGGTTGATAGGCTGTCCATCTCCTGAAGGTAGCTAGATATACAAAATCAGCACTGTTGGTACTAGAGATGGAGATAATATGACTGGGAAAGGGAAAATAGTTTAGAATATGGGAAAGAAAGATAAAAGAAGATAAGAGCTATGGCTTAAAGACTGGACCATAGAGATATCTGTGCTTAGGAGGGAAAGAACGGAATCCAGGAACCACTACGTTCACTACTTTGAAGAAGAGAGTAAATAGTAGTTATGTGTGTTTCAGGATATGAAAGATTTACTGCATGTATGTTTTCTTTCTTTTTATTGAATCTGTTTTTCTCCCTAGAATATGGTCAAGCAGAAAGCCTTGCGGGTTTTAAAGCAAAAACGGATGTAAGTTTTACACATAAGCTCTTTCCCTCTAACACGTTTAACCAAAAGGCAAATGGTCTTTTAGTCCTTCGGGTTTTTATACCATTTCTTAAGCATTCTTGATTTAATTACAAGTTTTTGTTGACATGTAATTATATATAGTTAGGTAGGTTTTCTCCCCTACATGTTCAGCAACATCTATTATCTAAATAGAACTTTCTATATCTGTGTGTCCAGAACAGTAACCAGTAGCCATATGTGGCTGTTGAGCACTTGAAATGTGGCTGGTGTGACTAAGGAATTGTAAGTTTAAATTTCATTTAATTTTAATAATTTAAGTAGCTCTATGTGGCTAATGGCTGTTCTTATGGACTGGCTAGATCTGTAGGGTTTGGTTCCTCCATAATTTATTTAGTTAGAGTATTCCTTTTTTGTTTTTGTTTGCTTGTAAAGGTTAGGAATCCTGAATATTTTACTCTCACTGAAATAGATTTAAGGGTCCATTATTGTTCTTAGGTGATTATGTCCCAATTTTGAGCAGAAGCCAAGTATTATTTTTAGTGCTTACCTGTGTGGACTGTTCAGCTCATGGGATCATCTACAAAATTATAGAGGTCAGACAAGATCAGCAAATAAAGAACAAGATTGTTGATATCTCTCTACTGCTTCCTTTTATTTTTTTTCAAAGAGGCAAAGTCTCACTCTGTCACGTAGGGTGGAGTGCAGTAGTATTGTCACCTCCCTGTAACACTCCTGGACTCAGTTCTCCCACTTCAGTTTTCTGAGTAACTAGGACTATAGGTGTGTGCCAC